CAAATCTTTTCCTTTTTGAATAAAAGTACTTACCTTATAATATCTCTTTTTATTTGAATTATATAGTATTTACCTAAACAAAATCTCAATAATTTAGAAAAAAAGTACTCAAAATATTGTGATGTCACCGGAGTTAATCGAGTAAATGACGAGTGCCCCTACAAATATTTGCCCTATTTTCGGTCAGTCTTTAAAGCCGGAACTCTACCAGGGATCTAGGCTAGAAGAGCCAGCACCTGCAAGTTTAAAGGTATGATGAGGTATACTTACCTTTAAAGAATTTTTAACACGTCTACTGGTCTAATTTTGTTAATTAAACGGTCGCAGGATTTCGGTGTAATATGGGTTTTTTGCTGTTAAGATAAGGTTACTTTATTCACTGGTAAAACTAGAGTATATTCTTCAAAGTTACTCAAATAATTACAAAAGGATAAATTAACAATAATAATGTAGAAGTCCGTCTTCCAAGCCAGTAAAACAAAAGAGTATCTTGAAAAAGACTACTCTCGTTTCTAACGTAAAATGAAGAATATTCTATAAAAGTAGTCTTAGGCCGTTTTGAAAGAGAAAGATTCTTGTACAAAAAACGCGTAAATACCTATTATTTGAACAGAGGTTATTAACTAAGTAAATATTCGCAAATTAGTCACTTTGTTGTTGTCGGTAGATCGTAAGCGAGGACTCCCGTGACTCACGAGCCCAGCACGGCTTAGTGCGAGGAACCCCTACTTGCGTCCAAATGCCCCCTTAACTATCGACCATCACCAATTCGTGAGAAAGGAATAGCAATTGTTACATTACCCAAATGTTAACTGACACAAGTCGGTAATGTAGGTAAGGCAGGTTACCCTATGAACGAAAATCGACACATGTTTATACTAATATCACATGCTGACAAAATAATAACCATCGATGGTCGTTCATGAGAGTGCTCATAATGTAAGTAACAAAAATTTAAATTATTTTTATTGACGTATAGTATTACAAGAAGATAAATCGCCACTATTAGATATTATTTATAAAATGATTTACATTGGATAATACGCCTTGCCATACAAGGTCGTCACTAGGACATGACAGCTCCCCCCTTAAAGGAGAAGCACGAAAGAGTCCACTATTGAGTGATTCGTAAAGCATCAACCCTATTGAAGACTTCCTCTTCTTAAGCAAAACTTCACTATTGTTAACATCTCCGGCAAGACCATNTCCACTATTGAGTGATTCGTAAAGCATCAACCCTATTGAAGACTTCCTCTTCTTAAGCAAAACTTCACTATTGTTAACATCTCCGGCAAGACCATCAGGAATTTATAAATTTATCATGAAAAAACGGTTATGGTTATTTGGTGATTTCGACAAACACATCTGATTAAATTGTTCTGCAATAGATTCTCTGTATAATACGACAGGATCAGACTTTTTATTTGGTATACAGGCGTGATCTTCTTCAAGATCTTTAAAACAGATTTCAAGGTGAAGTTCACTAGCACCAGCAATAATGTGCTCTCTAGATTCTTCGATGATACATGGCACAATAGGATCCGACTTAGCAAGACGTCTCACAGCTTTAACCAATTTTGGCAAATCTGCCGGATTCTTGGGTTCAACTGCTAAACGTACAACAGGAGAAACCGAGAATTTCATAACTTTTATATTATGTGCATCTTTAAACGTAGTAATGGTACCAGTTTTGACCAAGAATTGATCAACACCAGCAAGTCTACAAATGTTACCAGAAGGTACATTTTCAATGGCTTCAACGTAACGACTAATCATCAAGATAGTACGTTGAATAGATTTCTCATACAAATACTCTTTCATTCCGGGTTAGAAATTCGGTCTAATAATACGGACCTTCATACCAGTACACACTTTACCAGAAAATACACGTCCCAAGGCATCTGCCATCGGTTCCCAACGATTTAGCGAAAGTGATGTTCTTGTAATCCGTAGTATTAACCTTGAGGCCACTCGCCTGCGTGAAAGAGTTAAAAGCGAACATCCCTGTGTTCATTATAGATCGCAGTAGTAAATTGTTCGATCTTTCTCAATTCGGCACTGGTAAACTGTTGTTTCACTATGGTCTTCTAACTGCCACATGCTGAACGTATGTGGTTGTCTTTGTCCGCGTTAGTGTGGGGAAGTTGCAATCCCCCATACAAAGGAGCGAAACAATGATAATGTTAGCAGCTGCTCCTTCGCAGTCATATTCTAGTAGTGCGGTCGTCGAACAGGTAAATGCTGCCACGAAGATGGTGATTTTGACGAACATATCTCTTTGAAACCAATGTTGATTCAATATAAATTTTATTAAACTTTATTTAAATGCGAACTAATAGAAACTCGTCTCAAGCTTGTTTAGCGTGTCATTGCATGATCGATGATAGCGTTAAGCAACTCCAATGAGCCTTTCTTATAAAAAAAACTAATAGTAACAAATTGTATTATGTTTCGTAACTCATTACGACATTTCCATAAAAGCTGCCGTAGTTTAGCACGGTTTACCTTCATTTTAATAACAAGAACGATTTTTTTAAAAATAAATTTACAAGTTTGAATCGTTTATGAAGTTCGAGAGAAATTAGATGCTAATCAAATTTAAAAAGTTAAGAGGTTACCCACTAGGTAATATTAACAAAAATTACAAATAATAAAATATGAGTTTTAGAGGGATAATAAAGACTGTTAATAAATTTGATGAACAATTTATTATGAGTTTGTTGAACGTATTGTTCTTTACTGAGGACTTCCTCAGCAACTACAAATTTTTTAATTATGAATTGTTAAAAAAATATATAAACATTACAATAAATAAACTATAATTTTTTTTTTACCTTGATCACTTAATTCACGCGTCAATACATATTATTTTATTTTCAGAGTCATACATTACAATAAAACTTACCATATTATAGTACAATTAATCCTAAAAACACCTTATCTCATCACACGTAATCATATACTGAATTCTATCTAGACTAGTGTTTAATAACTTAGGTATCTTCCGTAATATGATGTCCTCTATCAGTGTGTCCTGTCATGATAATTAAATTTTAAAATTTCATTATRGATGTTGTTTAGATCATTCGTGTCTTTCTTGTTGTTAACTGTAATGTTATTTGTTACATGGTACATTTTGCTTATATTCCTTTTGTACCAATAGTCTTCTCTTTCTAAAATGGCTTTCTCTTCAAATTTAAACTTGTGTCCTGTTTTAAAATGGTGCTCGGCTAACGCAGTAGTATTATTCTTTTGAGAATTTGTAGGTTTACAACCATTCTTATGTTGTTCTAATCTTTTTTTTAACTTATGTTCAGTTTGTCCTATGTAGCATTTGTCACATTTACATGGTATTTTGTAAACTACGATCGATTGTTCTAGTCTATAAACCTTGTCTTTTAGTTTTGTGAATATTGAATTTATTTTAACTACGTTATAAAAAACTAGTTTTACATTAGTATTTTTGAAACATTTATTTATTTTATTCGATAAAGGTTTAAAAAACGGATACTTAATAATTCTGCTATTATTCAGTACTTTTACTTTCTTCTGATCTCTATCTAATTTAAACTTACTAAACACCATGTGTATGAGACTCGTTGGGTAATTGTTATTCTTTAAGATTAGTTCTATTCTTTTATTATTTTCTGTATGAAACTTCTTACTACTAACGTCAGTGCTCTAAATAATAATCCTTTAATGACTTAAATTTTTTAGCTCATTCGATGATTTGAATTGTAATTTATACATCTACCAGAGCTTTTTTAAACTCTCGCTTTATCAAACTCGCGCATTGTCTTCGTATGGCAAATCTAAAACTGCAGCCCGATAAATGTGAATTCTTCAGGCGAGAGGTGGTTTTATTGGGCCATATTATAGGCAAGGACGGCGTAAAGCCTGATCCAAGAAAATAAGAGGCAGTAAAAGAGTACCCGCGTCCAGACAACGTTAAATCAATTCGCCAATTCTTAGGTCTTGCTGGATATTATAGAAGATTTATACCAGCTTTCTCAAAGGTAGCAAAACCTCTGACGGATTTACTAAAAAAGGAAGCTTCATTAAGATGGGAATCCAACCAAGAAAACGCATTTTGCTCACTGCGTGATGCCTTATGCAGGAGACTAATTCTACAATGTCTTAATTTTTTCCTGCCTTTTAACGTCACAACGGACGCATCCATTTATGCAATCGGTGCCGTGTTGAGTCAAGGCCCCGTTGGTAGGGATTTGCCAATTTCCTATTGCTCGCGAATTCTAAATAAGGCTGAAATGAATTATTCCACTATTGAAAGAGATTTATTGGCAATAGTTTTCTCTACAAACTATTTTAGGCCATATTTGTACGGTCGAGAGTTCACCCTCATAACWGATCCCAAACCACTAGTTTGGCTAAAATCGGTAAGGGAACCGACATCAAGATTAGTAAAGTGGAGTMTGAAATTGGCCGAGTATACGTTTAAAATTATTTATAAACCAGGAACTACGAGTGCTAACGCTGACGATCTATTACGAAATCTAACAGAATCTAAAAGAGTATTTCCTATAAACACATACGATTGATGAGAATATTGTTCATTTTAAAACTAAGAACACAATGACAAATAACGAGGATAGTAATCCCGACGTTACAATTGACGGCACAGGTGACCTTGACAACGCGTCACTGTTAGCAACACCATCACTAGAAGTCGAAAATACAGAAGTTGAAAGCTCTAGTGACTATAAACGACTATACTCCCCACATGCTCAATCAAGAATAAATAATAATATAATAATGATAACAAGAAATGTAGGAGTCTCACGAGTCTCTCAACAATTAAGGCATGACAATATTGTAATATTCACCGATCTAAACGGCACACAACGTGATACTGCTGCTAAACTATTAGAACAAACAGAACTTATTCCGCACGTAAAAGATTTAACTTTAGCTCGTGCCAAGGTGACCAACATAGGAAAAAATAAATTAATAATTATGCCTATAAAGGAAAACATCGCAAACAGCACAAAATTAGAAACGATATACGAGGCAATTGGTTCCTTTCTCTCAGTAGGACGAGAGCTTAACTTAAAATCGTTTAGCATCGTTAAGACACAATGCTAGGACGGCATATTATGGATTTGAATTGAAAAGAAATTATGTAACACGTTTGTATCAGAAAATTGTTGTATTACTATCTGTTTAAACCAAATCCAAATTCCTAAGTTAGAACTGCGGGAGGACATCCTTGCCGAAGACCACTCCTCGCCTATTGGTGGGCACAAAGGCGTCACAAAAACGTATAATAATATTCGACATAAATATCATTGGCTTAATTTGAAAAGGGACATTAGTGATTTTATTAAAAATTGTACAAGTTTTCAGTTACAGAAATTAGTAAGAATAAAGACCAAGGAACCATTGATTCTTGCTGATACACCGGAAGCGGCATACGACAAAACACCCATGGACATGGTCGGGCCGCTTTCTGAAACGAAATCAGGAAATAGATATATTCTTACARTACAAGACGCACTTACTAAATATTTTATTGTAACACCATTAAAAACAACTACGTCCATAGATATTGCCGAAGGATTAGTCCATAATGTTTGCAATGTTTTCGGGGCACAACGAACCATACTGATTTACCAGGGAACGAACTTTACTAGTTCACTTTTAAAGGCAATAGCCAAACAATATAATCTGAAACAAATAAGAATAACGGCGTTCCCTCCTCAGTCAAATAGATCACTAGAAAGATCTCATATTGTATTAATAGAATATTTAAAACACTATATAAATAAAAGAAGCGAGTGGGATAAATGGTTACCACACGCTATGTTCGCATATAACACCAGTACGCACGAGGGAACCAGGTTTACCCCTCTTGAATTAATATTTGCAAAACAAGCTAATATACTTATTGCAGACGTACATACTAATGTAGCTTTAGACAACACATAATTAGAATATTATTTAAAGTTGGTTAATAAAATTAAAACGTCTCACAACATTGCAAGAGGGAACCTGGTAGGAGCTAAAATCAGATCAAAATTTTACTACGATCGAAATGCTCGGGGTCAGAACATAAAATTTGGCCAATACATATATCTTTTAAGGGAATCTACGACAAAACTTGGCAGTCAATATACTGGCCCCCACCAGATTCTAGAACTGCTACCTAATAACAATATTAAGAATAACTATAAAAATAAAAGTAGAATCGTTCACAAAGATAAGGTTAAGATTGCTAAAGACAAATAAAATATATATCTTTTAGTTTACGTATAAAAATGAATACGATACTGGGTTTCYTTGTCATTTACTGCGTCACCGTCGCGTCCGCATTATTAGGCTACGATTGCGGAGGCACAGCGGCAAACATCACTACAGACTCACTGCTGGAAGCAGGAGAGTGCGACCTCCCCAACACAACTATCAACAAAACTAAGACGTGCGTGCCACTGCTACAACTAATAGACTACGTTAATACCATAGTGTTTMAGTGCAGAGTAGAAATTGACAGAACAATATATTATTGCGGGATGAGTTCGCACATCTCGGCCGTGCATGGTGGTCGCTGCGTGTACTTGGTTGAAATTTCACGCGAATTATGCAGTTCAATTATCAAAACGGGAAAACTTTCATTGAATTCTTTCACCCAGATAAGTGGTCTTCAAATCAATACAACTGACTTTCGGAGTGTAACACTGGCAGGCTCAATTGGCATCGATGCCAGGTTCCCGAGGACGCAATATTCCGACACCGACGGTACATGGAAAAGTTTGGTTGTTCAAGGGGTAGTGCGTACAAATATTGGAACTTACACAGAAATAGTTAAAATAAAAGATAATTCTGTATCATTAAGAGGACATCTACAATGTTCCTTTTCGGAGGAGACTTGCTTCACCAAAGAAAATGGGAATGCTTTCTGGACCGTCATTCCAAGATCTACAGGCCATTTTGGAATGTATTCTGCGCTATGCGGGGGAGAAGCAGTTAGAGTGACTGCACTTGACA